ACTTGCTAATTTTTTCAGTGCATGTGTTTTGTACATTGTGAGTGTTTGGAATGGCTATGTCTATAATGTATGTGATTTTATTGTGTTTGTCAATGAGTGTGATGTCTGGTCTGTTGTGATAAATTGTTTTATCTGTGATTATGGCTCTGTCGTAGTACAGTTTGTGCGTGTTGTTTTCCAATACTGTCTGTGGAATATACTTGTAGTATGGTTTGTGAATGTCTGCCAATTTGTGTTTCTTTGCAAGCTCTTGGTGTATTATATTTGCTACTTGATTGTGTCTATGTAAGTAATTATGAAAGCCCTCCACTCACAGTAGTATTAATAAAATCAAGTAGCACTTGTATCATTAGCACCTTAAGTTGTATTTCAAAAAGAAACAGTAATTTTACGTACAAATTACATATTTTTAGATAAGATTTAGTAGTAAGCTTTTATTTTGGTAATTCTAAACATATTTCTTAATTTTTCATTTATTTGACTTTGAAATATTATTTTTGCATATTTAGCAGAATCTGTTTGGTTAATTCACAATTTTAATGTATGTCTAATTATTTTTTGGTTTCTTTATTGAATTATACAGTAAAATATCACTATTTGGAGTATGATACTATTGATTTGTGCAAGAAACAGTTATATATAGAATGTTGATCTGTTATGATTTTTTTATGTAAAGTTTTGGTTGTTATTTTCTGTTTTTGCAATGGCTAATCCTGTTTAAATTGGTGTCTACTCATATTTGGCAAAATTGAGTCTTTCAATCAATGTGTTCCATTATATATATATGCTGGTTTTTTGTGGAAAAAAAAATCTTATCCAATTTCTTATTTTGTCACTTTTGAAATGAATAGATATCTAAGTAATAAGCATAAGTTTTAATTTAGGTGGTCCTCGGATTACAAATGAGTTCCATTCTCAAAATTGTCTTTAAGTCAAATTTATGTGTGACTTGGAATGTATGTTGGATTTTCAGAAATTGAATACACAAATTTCTACATGAATACAAGACCTGACTTAAAATAATGGTAGTATTATTCCTGGTCATTCTTGCTAGAGAGATGAAAATTCTGTTTTTAGGAATAATAATATACCAATAGTTATATTAATAATAAAATACAACTTACTCAGAGATTTTAATTATTTCATTTTGAAAGACTCAGTTCACATTTGTAGAATGTTGTAAGTTGGACATTATTAACTTGGAGATGAATGTGTAACCTAATTTGTTATCAAAATTCTTAATCTTTAATATGTTTGAAAAGTTGAATGATGAGGTTGTTGTTTTCTTTTACCAGACATTATGACCAGTTTGTTTACAAAAAACGGTGTTTCTGAAATCAAAGTTATAAATGTTGCTAGTGTATTCTTAGCTGAAAGATTTTTCTTAGATTGCTTAATGTGGACAGTTATGTACCATTTCTCATTTTAACCCTCTGATTTACAGCACTCTTTTTTTGTCAATACCATTTTGGGCTTCTCTAACCCTCATTACTTGCCATTATTAAAAGGATATATCTATTTAATAGAAAATTCTTTATCCTGAAATAAATTTACAAAAAATTTTGCTTCATATTTCAAATACAAAAATAACAATACAGTAGAGCATTTTAGAAACAATTTGGGACTGGGGTTGTTCAGATAACTGATCATTTACAAAAAAATATATTAAACGCAAAACTGTACTGTATATAATTTGTATCACACATCTTACAAATACATACCTTACATAATGTAATACATTAAACTAAGCTTACAGTTCAGTTTGGCAGGAAGGGAAAGAGTGCTGCAATGCCTGAGCTTTAGCAGAAATTTGAATTTGCCAATTGGTATGCTTTCGGTTAACTGATGTTTCAGTTGATCAGTATTCGGATAATTGGTGCTCTACTGTATATGTTTTATCATTCTAGTGTGTTGTTGAACAACGCTAGATCTGATGTCTAGCATTGTTCCACTACACATACTTAATTAAAAATAAATTAATAGTAAAGAATTTACAAATTTATTAAATAATTTTTTAATAGGAAGAACACACAGATGCCATTGGTTTATCTTCATCAACCTCTCATCTAGACTCTCCGTATTACACTTCAGTGCAATACACCGGACAGAACCAACCTTTACAAGAAGTACTTCCGGTACAAGGAAATTTTAACTTTCTTCAAGAGTCTCAAATTGATCTGCAATGTAAGATTTTATAAATTTGTATTTGACTTAGATTATAATTCCTAAATATAGATATAAAATTAGAAAATTTCCTTCTTTAGCACTTCATATGGACCCAGCAGTAGTAGTAGCACACCCCATGATTCCCTCTACCACTATGGGTTATCCCACCCAATATCATGGTTCTAATCTTCCTTCTCAAAACATTCAGGCGTCTCAACCGGATGGAGGCATAGTTAGACCTTCTGTGGCGACTTCTGCAGTGTCGTCCCAGGTGCAGGTTGCAGGTACCAACACTGTAAACGCATCGCAACTTCAACAGAATCCCATGAATCCTCCCCAGGATTTTGACCCTTCTTGTCCCATACCAACGCAAACATTTACAAACCAGAATTTTTCGGCAGTTCATCCCATAGTGCCCGTCTCTGTGCCGGGAAATTATGTACCTGCGGCCATGACCCATCCCTCTCTGCAACAGATGGTTCCAGTGGGAATGGTGCCGCAGCACGTTTCAAGGACGCCGTCCCCTCCGACCTCCGCAACCGACTCTCATCCCATGACCATGGCTCCACAAGATTCCATTTTGACAACACCGAATGTAAATCTCGGCACTTCATCTGACAACAAAGAATTTGATTCTGAATATCAGTTACAACAGGTTAGTGTAAATTATCAAATTGAACAAAATCTCAATTTGATGCTAAAAATTAATCTGGATTTTAGGGTTCCATAGACAATGGCAGTGGAGCTAGTCATTTTGGATCATCAGATTATCAACAGTTAGAAGATTCACAAAGTAAAATAATTATTTTTTATATAGTTTTTAAACTTCAATTTTTATTATTCAATTGTAATTAGAGATGCTAGCATTCAAAATATAATAAATATTTAATTTTTCACTTTCAAAAATGAAATATGGAATAACCTCAAGTAATAAAATAAATTTATTACATTATAAGATGTTCTTACATAATATAAGATCAGTACAGAGAAAAATCTCTCTAATCTTAAGATTATTTTTCAATAGTTAATCATCATGCTTCAACTTAGGTTTTATTTTGGATTGACCCATATAGTCTTGAATGCTACCATTTTAAATTACTGTAATTATGTTAATTATTATTTGAGAAGTATGTGTTGTACACCAATCAATAGAGTAACTATGGGAGGAATGACAACGGATATTCTATAGCAAACATGGAAAGAATTTGAGTATCAGTTAGATGTATTTGATGTGTGACACAAGATTGAGAAATTATAATGGGCAAATGCAAAACTTTTCAATTTTTCAATGTTTTCAGATAATGATTAACATGGTTACAATAGTTTAAAATGGCAATATTCATTTTGGAAGATCCTATATAGACTATACAAAGCTCATTTCGCTCATAAATTTCAAAATATATGCTATATACAATACGATTTGCATATATCAGATTGTAACATAAATGGCTATTTTGGAATGACAAAAATCAAGCAAACAGAATAATTATGCAAATAAAATATTCAACAAATTAATTACAATTACATCTGTCTCCACTGTGAGGCAGGCTTGTGCATGCTACTTACAAAAAAAAATCAGTACGGTATTTCTAGATTCCAAGAACTCCTTAACACTATTTTCAACTGTTTGCTTTATCTGAGTTCAGAACTGTTTCTTGTTCAAGAAGTTGTCAAGAGTTCTTGAAAAGTCAATACGGGATGTTTCAGGTGAATAAGCACAATGGAGTAAAATTAATATCTAGACAGCTATGAGCAACACGGATCGTGCCTTGTTGTGGGACAAAAGTGGTCCTTGATCAAAGTTGGCATTTACTAAATTTTGACACTCGGTGCCAATTTTGGAACAGTTCCTTTCTATGTTTGTAGTCTTGCCAGTTTTCAGGAGTTATAATGGATTATTTCACTTTTATGTCACCAAACATCGAACATAGGCTTCACATGTCAAAATCAAATCTCGCCTTATGTTTAACAGTAGCAAATGTTAGTGAATCCTCAGTGTTGTTTTTATTGTCATGAAGAAACCACTTCTCACTACTTGTGACAGTACTTTTGCTTAAGAACAATCCAGAACAGATTTTTGTACTGCCTCATTTGCCATACTCTATTAATCACTCAATTTATTGGTTATTGGAATGGTCACAAATCTTCATGGAACTTGCATAAAAATATCCTGTGAGCTTTAATGTTAGTTATCTTTCCTGTGCCACAATGTGCATTTACAAATCTGTGACAATGGTTTTCATATTGAAAACAATGGTCACAGAAATAGCTTCATCATATCCTCATTTGAAATGCTTGTTGTCCTTGAGAATAGAACCTATGGGTTTTTATTCCTTTAAATTTATTAAATTTATAATTATCTGTATTACCAATTTCCCATTGAAATTGCTTGTAGGAAAAATCAGCCATTTTGTATGTTACGCCCTGATACCCGATTTAACATCATGTCGGTCTTGCTGACTGACTGACATATATAAAATTTTTATGACAAATATTGTGTTTATTATGACAAATATACAAAGAATTGTTATAAAATGCAATCTGGAGAGCACCATGACATACTACGGGACTCTCCTGGTCACTTTCAATTGGGAATGGAGTCCTGCACGTCTGGTTATAAATGTAAATCATGTGACTGCATAATTTTAATTTTTTGAGGTCTGGCTGTCATGAATTGCTTTCAAGATATTTGTTATATTCTTTCAACTTACTTATTATTACGTTATCCAAATTTAGGTTTTTCAAACAGTCAAACGCAGAACTTTGCACAGAATCGTGGTTATAATGCAGGAAGAGGTAACCGAGGTAATAGAGGTAGAGGTTCTACAAATGGCTATGCCAGAGGCTCTAACAGCAGCACCACAGCCTCTACAGGTAGAAGCAATTATGGAAATGGAAGAAGTGAGTGAATTCGTGTTCAGTTTATATTCAAGAGTTCTCGGGAGTGTTAAATTACTGCTTTCTGTTTACAGGTGGTTATCAGAGTTCCGGAAATTATTACCAAGGATCTTATGGAGGACGCGATAATTTCAACAACAACACTAATTACAGTAATGCTTTTAAACAGAGGGGTTCTGCTCGTGGTAGTGGTGGCAGTATGTAATTTTTTACATATTTGTGTCCTTTTTGTCTTTTAGTTTTTCGTAATTTTATTTTGTCTTTCAGTTCCCCGTGGAACAAATCCGGGAACAAGAGGAGGAAACAATGGAAGAGGCTACCGTTCTCAATAGTGGACGTCTGGTGGGAGAATCCGTACGCATCTGCCATACGACGGTAAATTTTTTGGCAGCGGCAGCAAAGTCGGAATTGAACTGAGCAAATTAAAAATTTGACAAAATATCAGTTTCTCTAAACTGCTACTGAAACAGTTTCCTTCATAAGTGAAATGAGAGATTAGTGAACAACAGTTTGGTAAGAAACCAGGACCACCAAAAATCATGTGAATAAAACAAATTAGTAGCCAGTGTTTCGTGAAAAGTCCCGAAGGTGTACAGTCCGAAACTATTTCTGCCAATTATTGAAAAAAAAATCTATGTTACACTTGGGCATTGGTTTCTCTCGGCGATTTCTCGCAAATCTACCAAAGTATTGTGAGAAGAAGACTTGTGTTGTTGATACAAACTCGTATTACGTGAGACACAACCAGGCTTCTCTCTTCTTTGTTCCCAGTTTGTCTTTCAAATGTTCAGCACTAAATAAAATAATAAAAAAAAACCAACACTTGTTTAAATTAGGGTTATTGTTGATAGTTATAAAATTTATAGTGCCTACATTTGAACCTTGCCAATTCTGGGGTACAAAAGTGTGTGTGCGTGCCGTGCGTGTGTGCCGATGACTGCTCTTTACTTCTGTTTTGAATCAACATTCCAACCAGCAGTTATTCATAGCTTTGAATCTGTTTTTTCACTTTGTGCTGAAAAGAATTAGACACCAATTCTGTGTGTAGTTATTTTCTTCATATTTGATTTGTCTTCCTTCAGAAGAGCAAAATAAAAATCTCTATAATAAAAGCATTATAAAAGACAATTTTTTTTTCAAGTAATTTTTTTTATTGCTTCACAACATCTAAACTTATTTACATAATCTAAGCTACATTGAAATGCATTGCACCATAGTAAGATATATAATACATATATGCACATTCAGTTTTCCATAGATCGTTACAAGGTGTAAAAATGACAGAGATTTGCATTGCTCGACATATTTACAATATTTCACAGAAAAGTATTGGGAACGGGGAGAATGCGGTTCTGTGGCACGTCGCCCGGTCGACGGAGACATGCTAATCTCGTCGGAGTTAAACTAAGTAGTGGCTCGTGGGGCGACATGCCACGTGACAAAATAACGCAGAGAAGCTTTGGTAAAGTATCAAACTCGATTACGATATTAAGCAAACTGGAAACAATATTGGCATATTTTAATGATGATCTACGAGCGTAACGACATAGTTCGTGCCACATTAAAAGTGGAGCAATGCATATTGCTTTGTTGAGCCGAGTTTGCCCGTGCCCAAAAATCAGCACTACCATATTAATGCGGCAATTACTATGTCGGTACAGTTTCGTCCAGATCCGACAAACAAAGCGTGGCAATCTTAAACTAATTAGAGAAGCAGCTCTAAAGGCACACGGACTAGACAATTTTATCTGCGAAATGACGATATGCTTAATACGGCAAAAACATTCTTTAGAAACGCAGTGGTGTCAGACGCGTCCACTTTAATAAAAATTATGGCATGCAGTAGCAGAAACTTAGCTCTTCGCCAAAGGAGTATAAGTGATCAAGAGGAAATCAGAAAAGTAACAGAAAAAATTACCGGAATTTGTACTTATGGCAGATTTGTGATAATCAAATGGTAAATTTTGAGATTATTGCAATTCCAATTTGGCCGTGCCCTTACGTCGCAATCACTTCTTTTGGAAATTTGCAACCTTTCTCTTTTTTATATATTTATTTATAATATATATAATCTTGTAAAATGAAATTCTTTGTGAAGTCTACGACCTAATCCTGTACATTACCATGCAGACATTTTAATCTCTGCCGGTAGTTTTTTTTTTTTTTTTGTTTTAACTTATCACAGTTTTGGATTGAGAATGCTTGGCACTAGAAAAAGCAGTGCGGAGATGTAGCTTTCGTTTGCTTAGCTACGCGTTTAAAATAAACAACGAACGTCGTGCCCTCTTCTAAAATCTATCGAGACCCGTTTATATTTTGAGTGCTTTTAATCACATGATGCAAATTGATATGTTAAAAAATACGACAAAAAAAAAGGAGGGGGAGGAATTTCGGAAATGTTCCTCCCGAAATTTAACATATTGCATGCCACAATTTCTTCCTGAAAATTTGAGATTCGTTAACCAGATCTAAGAGTTAATTATTTAAAAAAAGGAGGACTAATATATATATATAATAAATGTGTAAAGGAACAAAAAAACTTTAACATATCTCAATTTTAACCTGAAAATAGTTACCCGTAGTATAAAATTATTCAAACAATAAAAAACAAAAACAAAAACAAAATGGCAAAAATTGCTTGCCACACAAAAAAAGAAACTGAAAAAGAACAATATTCTGAAGATATAACTGTAAAAACCCTTTCTATAATGGAATGTTCAAGAAAAATCGTAATCGTATTGCATCTTTCTCCTACGGATGTGCCTTACTAGTTTAGCAAATTCTAATTTGAAATGGAATGTTACCATCGTTTTTAAATAACTTTCTTCCATTAAATTTTTATCACAGATCAGATCACTTTTATAGAGGAAGTTACAGTCATAATAGAATCTTCGCAGCGACTCGATCGGTCGGAAAAAATTTTGACTCCAGATTCAACACATCAATTATGATGATAATAATAATATAATTCCTCCTAAATGTACTCCTTTAAAAGTCAAAAGTTTAGAAAAACAAATATTTTAAAAACGAATTTACAAAACCTTTTCCCCTCCCCGAAAAGTTTAAATGCAAACTGGGAAAAGGGTAATTTAAAGTCCAGTTTATTTTAAAGAATATCAAAAAACAGGAGGAAGTTTTATGAATATTATGTACAATTATGGGTACCTAATCTCTAAATTGTACCGTGTTTTTATACAGTATTACAAGAGTAAAAATTTCCAATAGCAATAGATTCTCTGCAGATTTAAAAAAAACACTCGTCATAAATCGGGGCTTTTTTCAGTTCTATTCGAAATAAACTAGAACTTCTTTGTTTTATGGAAACGATCACGTCGTATTGCTACATTTTCTTTGATATATATATGTATGTGTATATGTATATATAACTCGTAAAAACGTATTGCCAAATCGTTTGCTTTCTTTAATTTAAAATTTGTATATGATTTTGCGTAAGATGTTTCCACTACCGTTTATGATGCAAAACTACCTGATTCAATATGATATAGAATTGTTTTTTTCATGTTTAATGTTCAAGATAATAGAATTATTTCGTTTCTTCTTTCTCCATGATATATATATGTATATATATGGGTAAGTATGATGGATGGTTTAATGTCACCTGAGACTGTCGCAGGCATCCCACAAATTTTCCATTTCATGGAACATCTAGAAAAATAAATAAGTTAATTAATTATAGAGTTTAATTTACTATTTAAAAGTGAATGTCCTATATCAAGGCTTCTTAAACTTTTTTTGTTCACAATCCCATTTATGGTTATTTTATATTTTTTGGGTTGCGAAAAAAATCACAAAGATATACAGCAGGGGTGGCCAACTTTCGTGTATATAAGATCTACTTTTTATCTTAAAAATGTGTCGCGATCGACTTGTTGTCATAAGGATAGTCTAAGTGGCGAGGGGTGGCGTGAAATAAATACTACGTTTAGATAGGTAAGAAAAGCCACAATTTAATTTAAAACATGAAGAAAAAGTACTTACATTGTAAACAGAAGAAAAATTGAAACTCAACATTGTCACTTTCGGGGACCACCACTTCACCCTTCCTCTTTCTACCGTGTCCCGACCAGTCTCTCTGTCCCTCTTCCCACCTTTTTGTTTTTTGGTTTTACGATCCTTTGTCTACATTTCTTATTCCTCTTTTACAACTATATGCAAATGAATAGCACATGGACCGACAAAACCGCATCTGAGGGAGGACGCGGTGGTCCAATATCACTACATTTGGGTTTGCGCGTTACGTTCGGTTTCGAGTGTAACACATTAATTCAACACATCGCGAGCGATCGACCAAAATTAGCTTCGTGATCGACTTGTTGGCCACCCCTGATATACAGTATACAAATTTGCAAAAATAATGGTATACTACCACAGTTCACTCTTGTGTTACAATGGAACAGAGACAACACTACACTAGTTCACACTACAATCAGTGTTGCTGAATCATTGTCTCGCTGCACCAGAAGTGACACAAAGTGCAACTCGAAACCTATGACACAAAGCATGCCATTTTCAAACTCTTACAAATTATTTTCAATATTTTGCATTAAAATCTCACGACCCCAAATGGGGTTGTGACCCATAGTTTAAGAAGCCATGTCCTATATTATCTTTTAAAGTTTAAGATTCTTTTGAATTAACCTATTATAAGTAGGTTGGAAATACAAAATCAAACTGTTCTTACCTAGGAACTTATTACCACAAATGCCACCAAAGTGCCAATAAACATGATGTATACCTTACATCATTGACCTATCTTTAAAGTTTGTCTAAGACCTTTCAAATCACCATTTTAAATAAATCTTAAATTTTTTCAAATTTCTCATTTCTAAAATAATAGTCAACTAGTCTTAAAAACAAACACCAATAAAGCGAATTTTGCCATTGCAACAACATTTGTGATAAAGTGAACAAATATTTTACAAAAATTCATTAAACTGAACTGTAAATTACCTTCACAACTCCCAACAAATAATCCTATATCTAAGAATGATTTTATTATTCATGTTGAAAAGTATATATATATAAAAAGTACTGTAATAAATGTTCTACGTATTTTGAGTAGAATAATTTTCTTCTTCTAGTAAGCAAAGACTGGCTTTAGTGATCCATTTTATGTACTCAGAAAATGGATTATAAGTTTAAGGACTTAATTAAAAACCTTTAAATGGATGCGGTCTCATGCAAATGTGTGTCAGTTTGCATATTGGGGAGTGCATACAGTGATGCCAGATTTGGCGATAAAAACTATTTTAGACTTTTTCGAACAAAAAATCATTGATTTCTTTGTAATTCCTTTCATCCATTGGTTCTTTTTATATTTAATATTTTAAAGACAAAGTTCATAGATATAAAGCTGAAACACCCCAAGAAGGTTAGATGGTATCAAGAAGACATTCGTATGTCACCAGATCCTATTTTAAAAAATTTTTTGTATTTTTTAATTGGAAAGTTTTTGTTTTTTTTTAAAGAACTTTTTAGCGTTTTGGCAGCTAGTAGCCTAAAAAGGAAGATCGGTTGCCAGGATTGTATTGTCTGAAACACAGAACTAATAAATGGTGGTCCCTGATTGGGCAAACTTTGTCTTTAAAATATTAAACATTGATTTCTTTTTACTTTCTTCTGTTTAACCATTCAGACATACCGATTCACATTTAAATGGCAAATACAGTCTTCTTCTCAGTTTGATTTGAAAATCATTTAATCATTAATTTTATTTAACTTTATTATTAAATTACAGTAGAGCATCGTTTATCTGAATCAATTGGGGATTGGGGTTGTTCGGATAACTGATTATGTACAAAAAAATATATTAATTTATCCCATGTTGAAATTTTTCTCTGTTGTGTGTCACTTCGCGTTGAATTTTCGTCGATGTTAAGCCTAACGTAAACATTTTAAAATAATAATCATGGCTATTGTATCATTAAAAATTATTTCTTTATTTTTTGCAAACAAAATAAATATATTGAAAAATATAAAAGCAAAAAAAATTATACTTTAGAAGTTAATCTAGTATCAAAAACGTTTGATTCAGCACAACACACAGTCCTCAGAAAAACACTACACAAAAGTGCCAGTGCTGCCAGCTAAAACACACACACCAAGAAAAAAAATGTTGAAGTAGCCCAAGATATAGCCAAAAATTGCAGTGCCACAGCACTAGCAAAAATTTAAATTTGCCAACTGGAATTCTTTCGAATAAACGAGGTTCTATGGCAGGGGTGGCCAAAACGTGGCGCATTGGACGAGTACAAGTGGCGCTTCAGTCGGTTCCGAGCAACATTGCCAGATCTGGGTTCATTGCAACTATGAATATTACATAAGAAATTAATTTGTTACAGTGTTTCTCGGCAAGTGTATTTCTGACACAGATCGGTGCAATCTAGCTGTTGACCTTTTTTTTTTTTTTTTTGCTTGTACGTTACACGATACATTCGATACACCACTGATGTCATGCTGATTGTACTACAGCCGCATTTATCATTGCTTGTTCTGTGGCAAATCTGAATTTTCGTCTTATAAACTGAAATACCTAAGTAAGGGGTGGCCGAAATTTTTCTCCGCCCCGGGCTGCTAACACTCATGATACGCCACTGCGCATGTGAACTCGTCTATCAAAAAATTGGCGCATGGTATGCAAAAGGTTGGCCACCCCTGCTCTATGGTATAATTTAGAGATTTTGATTATCTTAATCCCTAACAGTAAATTATATGACCTTGATCCTGAAAATAGTTCTGTTTATCAAAAATTTGTATTAACAAACTACTGTTCCACTAGCAATTCGTATTAACATGAGTTGACTGTACATTACATTAATGAAGTTCCAATACAAAGCCCAAGAATGGAATTTACTAATATTTTTCTAACCTGTGTTATCCAATCAGTATCCTGAAGACACTCTTCTAAAATGGCATGAGATTCTTTCTTATCATCCGCTTCTCTAGCACGATCAACCTAGAAAAAGTATACGAGTTGCAATGATTTAAATGCATAAAAAAATTCATTTACTGATACCAAAACAAAAACATATACTTTACCCTACTGCAACATTTATGAAAAAAATGATATTTATGATGATAAACATGACTGAAGAGTGTGACTATGGTCAAACAATTGCTACACACAGGAAAATGAGTGCTACTATGATTATTAACTGAATTATGTCGTGGCTCCATAGTATCATGATTATACAACTGTCCTGAAAAATGCACAGAGTGGCGTCCCAGTTTTCCATGGCATATCTATAAATTTGAAAAAACAATTAATTTGATTAATTAATTAACTTTTTAACTAATTGAGAAAAAAGACCTATTGTTATAAAATATAGATTTAATTTCAATTTAAAATATATTTGCTATGATTATTATGAGAATCTCAACACCATCCTTGCATTTCCTGCAAACAATAAGTGATGACAAGTCACTAAAATCCACTAATGATATACGTGCGTTTTATTTATAAATCAAATTGTTTTCCAAAAAAATATGAGGCATTACTTTTAAAGCAATCCTTGTATGCTATGTATTCATTTTTTAATTCATAAATGCAAACAGGATTCTGCATATGCCATGTATAATTTGAAAATATTGAAATTCAATGCATTCTGAATACACTTATTCATTCAATTTAGCCTAATGGTAATATGCCTTCCATTCTGGCAGAACTGTGCCAAACAGTTTTGTAACAAAAAAATTTTAAAGGTTCAGCTAAATTGGGAATGTCCACTACAAACAAAAGGAATGGCCTCACTAAAAATCTTTTGTATCTGACAGGAAAAATGTCTATGTAAATCATTAGTAAACTAGTAATGTTTTGCTGCCATCATTAATTAAACAAGCTAGGGCTTGTGAGAGCATTTGTATAAGCAATGAGTGAGGATGGACCTGCATTTCAGTAATTGTGTAAAGAGTTTCTGAGGCTAAGTAATAAAAAGATCAGGCAAGGAGTATTCATTGGTCCACGAATATGCCAGTTCTTCAAAAATAAGCAATTTGAATGTATTCATAATCATGATGAGCTTAATGCATGGCAGTCTGTTTGGAAATTAAGATGTATGACAATTGCACGGAGCTTACATGCTCATATGAGAAACTTTTATGTAACATGACACTTAGTATGCATTTTCTATACTCATAAATTTCTTCCCTGAACATTATGTAGCCGTAAGTGATGGACATTGGGAAAGGTTCCACCAGGACATTTCTTCTGTGGAACAGCGATACAAAGGCAATTTTTCATTTGCCTTTGTATTACTTGTTTCAATATTAGCAAATTTCTAATGGACCTTGCAAACAGAATCACCAGATGTTTGTACAAGTGACAGGCAAAGAGGTACTTGTTTCCTTTCCTTCCTACTATTTGACAGAATAATATAAGAGAAATATTTCTTGATGATTTTTCTTGTAAACCAGAACCTATCCAAAATTTTGACCATTGTTTTCATATTCAGTGCTCCAAAATCTATTAGATATAACTGTTAACTATTAGATATAAAATTTTATAAAAAAAGAAAAAGTTAACATTTGTTGAGTCATGTAATAAATTCATGATATAGAAAAATGCAAAATTATATATATACACACACACAATATAACAGATATTAAAATATTTTTGAAATAATAAATATTTAAAATAAATTAAATTAACCAAAATGAAAATTTTACCTGGCATCTGGATTTTCCCTTTTCACTGCATGAATTAATATTAATATTTGGATAAGTTTCGGCACAATGTCTCAATTGAGAATTCCAACTTCCCCATTTCAATAAAACTTCTTTTCTTTCTTCCATAACATCTTCAATCTCTTGCAGATGAGAAAGAAAGTATTTATCTGGAATAAATAATAAATTAATTCAAAATTTAAAAACTTTAATACATTTTTTAAAGAAATGAATGAACACTTGCCATTCTCTTTCACAATTTCAGTGATAAAAGACGGATCTAGAACTTGGCTAACAAGCGTCTGCAAAAATACTTCAAAATTTTCTCTTAAAGGATGAGTTGCACTATTGTCAATGCTATCCTTTCTATAAATGGTGTTCAATGAATGATAAATTTAGTATAATTGTATTAAAAATGTAATAAATGTAAATAATATAGCTTTAATTTTACCTTACCCATTTATATCATTTTCTATGGCAGTTGGAAGTTTTTCGATTATTACATTATCCTTATTATCCTCAATAACTGAAATGGGAACAGGTGTATACTTTGATTTTGATGAAGGTCTCCATGCTGAATACTATAAATTAAAATTTTAACAATAACTAATTGTTTTTTAAATATCTAATANCTTTCGATGATAATTATTTTCGTCTTCATCAGGTCGTTAAAACATTTTAAATCCCTTTTTTTTAAAATACAAATAACAAACCGTTCCAAGCATATTAACGTTTTGGAATAAAGCAACGATATAACATAACATGCTTTATTCCAAAACGTTAATACGCTTGGAACGGTTTGTTATTTGTATTCGAGAAAAGGATTTTAAATGTTTTAACGACCTGATGAAGACAAAAATAATTATCGTCGAAAGCGCTTGGCGATTTAGCGACGTTTATTTGTAATTTAATGCTTATATGTTAAAAAAGTTTTCTCCTATTAAATGATTGGTGTGCTGTCCATTACAGTATTATAGATAACACACTTTAATGTATATTCTTCTATTTGATGATAAAAAAATGGAAGTGAAAAATGCAACATACAGGTAACTCCCGTATAACACGGCACTTCTATAGCACGGATTCACTCTAACACAGTTCGAGAATTGGTACCATCCCCCGTATAACATGGTACTTTTATAGCACAGATTCACTCTGACACGGTTCGAGAAATGGGTAAAACCCTCGTACAACAGGAAATGTAATAAAATTTTACACACTGAAGTACTAATAGTTCACGAAAATTATTATTTTCGTGAACTATTAGTACTTCAGTGTGTAAATTTTCTTTTCTCGTCTGCATACACATGGTCCTTTGCGAAAATTGTTTCAATTTTGCCAGATCTCGACGCTTCTGCTTCTGTTGTTGCCAGATGTTTTTCCCTTATTCCATAAGTGCTTTGTTTTTCCCTTATTCCATAAGTGCTTAGCACCATATAAGGAAATTTATAAAGATCTTTTAACTAGAAGCAAGCAATCTAAAATTACATACACTTTTTGCAAAAGGTAAAGCATGAATCTGAAAATAATGCAGAAAATGCTCAGAGGATAANAAAATTCATTTACTGATACCAAAACAAAAACATATACTTTACCCTACTGCAACATTTATGAAAAAAATGATATTTATGATGATAAACATGACTGAAGAGTGTGACTATGGTCAAACAATTGCTACACACAGGAAAATGAGTGCTACTATGATTATTAACTGAATTATGTCGTGGCTCCATAGTATCATGATTATACAACTGTCCTGAAAAATGCACAGAGTGGCGTCCCAGTTTTCCATGGCATATCTATAAATTTGAAAAAACAATTAATTTGATTAATTAATTAACTTTTTAACTAATTGAGAAAAAAGACCTATTGTTATAAAATATAGATTTAATTTCAATTTAAAATATATTTGCTATGATTATTATGAGAATCTCAACACCATCCTTGCATTTCCTGCAAACAATAAGTGATGACAAGTCACTAAAATCCACTAATGATATACGTGCGTTTTATTTATAAATCAAATTGTTTTCCAAAAAAATATGAGGCATTACTTTTAAAGCAATCCTTGTATGCTATGTATTCATTTTTTAATTCATAAATGCAAACAGGATTCTGCATATGCCATGTATAATTTGAAAATATTGAAATTCAATGCATTCTGAATACACTTATTCATTCAATTTAGCCTAATGGTAATATGCCTTCCATTCTGGCAGAACTGTGCCAAACAGTTTTGTAACAAAAAAATTTTAAAGGTTCAGCTAAATTGGGAATGTCCACTACAAACAAAAGGAATGGCCTCACTAAAAATCTTTTGTATCTGACAGGAAAAATGTCTATGTAAATCATTAGTAAACTAGTAATGTTTTGCTGCCATCATTAATTAAACAAGCTAGGGCTTGTGAGAGCATTTGTATAAGCAATGAGTGAGGATGGACCTGCATTTCAGTAATTGTGTAAAGAGTTTCTGAAGCTAAGTAATAAAAAGATCAGGCAAGGAGTATTCATTGGTCCACGAATATGCCAGTTCTTCAAAAATAAGCAATTTGAATGTATTCATAATCATGATGAGCTTAATGCATGGCAGTCTGTTTGGAAATTAAGATGTATGACAATTGCACGGAGCTTACATGCTCATATGAGAAACTTTTATGTAACATGACACTTAGTATGCATTTTCTATACTCATAAATTTCTTCCCTGAACATTATGTAGCCGTAAGTGATGGACATTGGGAAAGGTTCCACCAGGACATTTCTTCTGTGGAACAGCGATACAAAGGCAATTTTTCATTTGCCTTTGTATTACTTGTTTCAATATTAGCAAATTTCTAATGGACCTTGCAAACAGAATCACCAGATGTTTGTACAAGTGACAGGCAAAGAGGTACTTGTTTCCTTTCCTTCCTACTATTTGACAGAATAATATAAGAGAAATATTTCTTGATGATTTTTCTTGTAAACCAGAACCTATCCAAAATTTTGACCATTGTTTTCATATTCAGTGCTCCAAAATCTATTAGATATAACTGTTAACTATTAGATATAAAATTTTATAAAAAAAGAAAAAGTTAACATTTGTTGAGTCGTGTAATAAATTCATGATATAGAAAAATGCAAAATTATATATATACACACACACAATATAACAGATATTAAAATATTTTTGAAATAATAAATATTTAAAATAAATTAAATTAACCAAAATGAAAATTTTACCTGGCATCTGGATTTTCCCTTTTCACTGCATGAATTAATATTAATATTTGGATAAGTTTCGGCACAATGTCTCAATTGAGAATTCCAACTTCCCCATTTCAATAAAACTTCTTTTCTTTCTTCCATAACATCTTCAATCTCTTGCAGATGAGAAAGAAAGTATTTATCTGGAATAAATAATAAATTAATTCAAAATTTAAAAACTTTAATACATTTTTTAAAGAAATGAATGAACACTTGCCATTCTCTTTCACAATTTCAGTGATAAAAGACGGATCTAGAACTTGGCTAACAAGCGTCTGCAAAAATACTTCAAAATTTTCTCTTAAAGGATGAGTTGCACTATTGTCAATGCTATCCTTTCTATAAATGGTGTTCAATGAATGATAAATTTAGTATAATTGTATTAAAAATGTAATAAATGTAAATAATATAGCTTTAATTTTACCTTACCCATTTATATCATTTTCTATGGCAGTTGGAAGTTTTTCGATTATTACATTATCCTTATTATCCTCAATAACTGAAATGGGAACAGGTGTATACTTTGATTTTGATGAAGGTCTCCATGCTGAATACTATAAATTAAAATTTTAACAATAACTAATTGTTTTTTAAATATCTAATATATTAATTTAATTTTTTTATAGTTAATATTTATTTATATATTTTTAAAGATAATCTTTAAAGTTAAACAAAATTTTTAATAACTAAATAATTTTCACATTAAGTATATTTTTAAAATAGAGAAGTTGCACATTTTTTAAAAGTAAAATTTTGTTATTTACAAAAAAAAAAAGTCCTGACACTTGCTGTGAATTACAAGATGTTTTAATGTGTAAATAAATAAAAATATAAAATGACACAAGAATTTCTTCTCAAACATAAGTGGATAAGATCTGAATGTTGTAACATTATATGGTTCACAGAGCATCATAACATTCAACAACATGTACTTTTTATCCTGTAGAAGTGTTGTTACAATAGTAGTCATCGGTTTTTTTAATTTTTAATTATAATTTAGCTACAAAAAAATTTTTAAAGGTTTTTATAAATATTATATTCTTCCAATGTGTAAAAGTTCCTTCTCAAATACTCAAAATAAGTTACTCTTTTCAGTATAATGAGAAAAATGCAGTATGATCCACTTTCCAATTTAAGTGACTGTTATTAGTACAAAGATCATTTTGATTTAAGTAAAAAATATAATTTCATTTGAGGAAGCAGTTGAAAGTTAGAAGTGATTATTACATTTGTTATTTATATTTAAACAATGATATTAATAAATAACAATAAGACATATTACCAGGATAAAGGATAATCAAATCTTACAGTAACTTAGTGTATATAAAGATATTTTAGGGAGTAACAAATTTAAAAATAAATGAATCTGTAGAGTTTAAGAGGATAATTAAGATAAATAAGTCTGCTAGTATTTGAATTTTTTGAAACTCTTTCCACTGTAGTACTAAGAGGGCACCTTTTTTCAATCCATTGTAGGTTTGGTTGGTGATGAGAAACAACACATCTGGGATAACTGCCCCCAAAAATTCCCAGAAAGTTACCCACCCAAATTTGTTCCAGATTTCCCAGAGAAACAGGCTAACATCTTAACTACTTTGTCTGTCACTATTATTTAATTTCTAACAATCATAAGAAGAAACTGTTATTTTTATAGGAGCAGTTCACCAATTAATACAATAACTAACAAATGTAAACTACGTACATCATCACAAATATGTCAGGATGTTGAAGCTTAAATATGTGAAGAAAATGAAAACTATATTAATAATAACTTCTGAAGTTATTACTTCAGAAAAACATTTTAGTGAATAATTGAAACCCAGATCCATAGTTTACAAATTTTTAAAATAATTAATTTGTAATTCGTATAAATATAACATTTAACAGAATTATGTGTAAAGCATGAAAAACAATTAATAACAACATTTAATCAATATATAAAACACGAAACATCAATCACTTTAGTAGCAAGACTAAGAAAACAAACTGTATGATTTAATATCTCAATAGGAGTATAATTTAACATCACATGCCTAAATCATTGTTTTTCATACTTTTAAGATTGATTTTTTAAATAATTTTACAGTTTTTTAAAATATTTATTCACCATAAGCATTTTGTGCACTTTAAGAAAAAAACTTATATTACGAAAATTAAAATTTTACGCAACTTCCCTATTCTTTATAGAAAAGTATACATACTGAAGAAGTGTTGTTATATAATGTTTTTCCATCTTTCTTAAATGTTTCAAATCTTTGTAAAATAGATTTGCTTTCAATTCTCCAGATTGGAGGGTATGCTTTCTTGAGATCACTAAATAAAGTTATATAGTCTCCAATCTGAAATAAATGTATTTTTATTTTATTAATATATAAATGTTTAAAAATTTATTGATTAAAAAAATTATATTTCTGAGTGCGTACCCTAAAACGTCCTTTGAGCAATTTTTCTTTTTTGTTTTTTCTCTGTTTTGAATGTTTTTCTTTCTTTTTAAATGATATTTCACAGTCTGTAGTAAGTGTTTTCTGGACATTTTTCAACTCTTGTTTAGTAATTATGGTATATTTTGAGAAAGATAATTTTTGTTTCATTTCTTCTTCTTTAGCTTCAGATATGGATGTTAGGCTTGATATCTAAAAAATAATTATATCAATTTTATATTTTTGATATTAAATTATTACAAATAAAAATATTTTAAAATCTTTACAAATTCTTATTATCTATACTTATCCAAATATAAAGTATACTAGCAATTATTTATTGTGACATCATCACAATGCCAGACTGTAATTTTTCATCACAATGTTCTCAATTTTAGTACTGTCTTGCCTCTGTACATCATACTTTTCCTGTTATTTCTGTCCATGCTAGTCATCCATTTAACTTCAGAGGAAATTTTTGAATTGAAATAATGTAACTTCTGTTACAAACCAGAAGTTCATATATATTTAACTGTAGTCTCCTGCTCCTAAGATTCCCACATCTGGTCTCGACTTTCATCTATCTAACTCTGTTTTCAAGATTAGGGAATGACAGACAGACAACAGATGAATGCCAGCGGGAATTTATAGGTCTACAGTTTTTGAAAATTGCAGCCCAATTACAAACTGTGGCTTGTGAACAACATGTGACTCTTCTAGACCCTTATTGTGGCTCACATATGTTTATACAATTTCTTTTTATGAACTTTGTATATAATATCTTCGTAAATTTTTTGACTATTACATAGTTTAATATACTCAAGGATTGTAAGCATAACTCACAACTTAATCTTGAACAGGCAACACAAGAATTTCTTCTCAAACATAAGTGGATAAGATCTGAATGTTGTAACATTATATGGTTCACAGAGCATCATAACATTCAACAACATGTACTTTTTATCCTGTAGAAGTGTTGTTACAATAGTAGTCATCGGTTTTTTTAATTTTTAATTATAATTTAGCTACAAAAAAATTTTTAAAGGTTTTTATAAATATTATATTCTTCCAATGTGTAAAAGTTCCTTCTCAAATACTCAAAATAAGTTACTCTTTTCAGTATAATGAGAAAAATGCAGTATGATCCACTTTCCAATTTAAGTGACTGTTATTAGTACAAAGATCATTTTGATTTAAGTAAAAAATATAATTTCATTTGAGGAAGCAGTTGAAAGTTAGAAGTGATTATTACATTTGTTATTTATATTTAAACAATGATATTAATAAATAACAATAAGACATATTACCAGGATAAAGGATAATCAAATCTTACAGTAACTTAGTGTATATAAAGATATTTTAGGGAGTAACAAATTTAAAAATAAATGAATCTGTAGAGTTTAAGAGGATAATTAAGATAAATAAGTCTGCTAGTATTTGAATTTTTTGAAACTCTTTCCACTGTAGTACTAAGAGGGCACCTTTTTTCAATCCATTGTAGGTTTGGTTGGTGATGAGAAACAACACATCTGGGATAACTGCCCCCAAAAATTCCCAGAAAGTTACCCACCCAAATTTGTTCCAGATTTCCCAGAGAAACAGGCTAACATCTTAACTACTTTGTCTGTCACTATTATTTAATTTCTAACAATCATAAGAAGAAACTGTTATTTTTATAGGAGCAGTTCACCAATTAATACAATAACTAACAAATGTAAACTACGTACATCATCACAAATATGTCAGGATGTTGAAGCTTAAATATGTGAAGAAAATGAAAACTATATTAATAATAACTTCTGAAGTTATTACTTCAGAAAAACATTTTAGTGAATAATTGAAACCCAGATCCATAGTTTACAAATTTTTAAAATAATTAATTTGTAATTCGTATAAATATAACATTTAACAGAATTATGTGTAAAGCATGAAAAACAATTAATAACAACATTTAATCAATATATAAAACACGAAACATCAATCACTTTAGTAGCAAGACTAAGAAAACAAACTGTATGATTTAATATCTCAATAGGAGTATAATTTAACATCACATGCCTAAATCATTGTTTTTCATACTTTTAAGATTGATTTTTTAAATAATTTTACAGTTTTTTAAAATATTTATTCACCATAAGCATTTTGTGCACTTTAAGAAAAAAACTTATATTACGAAAATTAAAATTTTACGCAACTTCCCTATTCTTTATAGAAAAGTATACATACTGAAGAAGTGTTGTTATATAATGTTTTTCCATCTTTCTTAAATGTTTCAAATCTTTGTAAAATAGATTTGCTTTCAATTCTCCAGATTGGAGGGTATGCTTTCTTGAGATCACTAAATAAAGTTATATAGTCTCCAATCTGAAATAAATGTATTTTTATTTTATTAATATATAAATGTTTAAAAATTTATTGATTAAAAAAATTATATTTCTGAGTGCGTACCCTAAAACGTCCTTTGAGCAATTTTTCTTTTTTGTTTTTTCTCTGTTTTGAATGTTTTTCTTTCTTTTTAAATGATATTTCACAGTCTGTAGTAAGTGTTTTCTGGACATTTTTCAACTCTTGTTTAGTAATTATGGTATATTTTGAGAAAGATAATTTTTGTTTCATTTCTTCTTCTTTAGCTTCAGATATGGATGTTAGGCTTGATATCTAAAAAATAATTATATCAATTTTATATTTTTGATATTAAATTATTACAAATAAAAATATTTTAAAATCTTTACAAATTCTTATTATCTATACTTATCCAAATATAAAGTATACTAGCAATTATTTATTGTGACATCATCACAATGCCAGACTGTAATTTTTCATCACAATGTTCTCAATTTTAGTACTGTCTTGCCTCTGTACATCATACTTTTCCTGTTATTTCTGTCCATGCTAGTCATCCATTTAACTTCAGAGGAAATTTTTGAATTGAAATAATGTAACTTCTGTTACAAACCAGAAGTTCATATATATTTAACTGTAGTCTCCTGCTCCTAAGATTCCCACATCTGGTCTCGACTTTCATCTATCTAACTCTGTTTTCAAGATTAGGGAATGACAGACAGACAACAGATGAATGCCAGTGGGAATTTATAGGTCTACAGTTTTTGAAAATTGCAGCCCAATTACAAACTGTGGCTTGTGAACAACATGTGACTCTTCTAGACCCTTATTGTGGCTCACATATGTTTATACAATTTCTTTTTATGAACTTTGTATATAATATCTTCGTAAATTTTTTGACTATTACATAGTTTAATATACTCAAGGATTGTAAGCATAACTCACAACTTAATCTTGAACAGGCAACTGAAAGCTTACAGTATAAAGTCAAAGGAGTTAAATGATTGTTTACACAGTTATCTGTCATAAAGTATCGGTAAAGTAAAATAATATTTACTGTAAAACAGTGAAAACTACAATATTTAAACTATAAAGTATATATAAATATATGATGGACTTGCCAATAGGTATTCTAATAGAGGATGCAGCTCTCACGTATTTCTAGTAGGCAGTGCATGGCTCCTACAGTGAAAAGGTTTGGCCACCTCTGATATATTACAATATTATACAGTAGAGCATCGTTTATCCGAATCAATTGGGAATTGGTGTTGTTCGGATAACTGATTATGTATGAAAAAATATATTAATTTATCCCATGTTGAAATTTTTCTCTGTTGCNTTCACTAACAGACAGTCGAATGAATTAAAAATGACTCTTAATCAATCACAGAAAAAACCAGCTGTTTATGAATACACTACTTAACCTGATTGTTAGAAGTTTTATTTCACTAAAGCTCTAAAGATTTAGAAGGTACTGGAAGAAAAAAATTGGCCCGAAGTGGCACTCAAACCTACAATTTCCGCTTACCATGCAGGTTGCGTTGCCAGTAATGTTACAACACTTCTAAATTAATTATTAAAATATTAATTTAATTATAATTATTAAATTTAGCAAGAGATGATGCCTAATGCTTGCCTCTAGTGCAAAATTACTTAGTGTTTAATTAACAATAGTAGTAGTAATATAGCCCAACATGATTTGGCTTTAATATACAGTATAACTATATATTTGGACATTTATATCTGTTTTATTTTACTTAATATAACAGTCATTCGGCTTTAATTTAAATCTAAATTTTATTTTTTTTAACTTGTTCAAACTATCTAGAATTCATTGTAAGTCTCTTAAGCTATTTTAACAGTTGAAAAGTAAGAATAACAATCACGTCCATATTCCATATTTCAAATTCAATTCAATATAATTCAAATNCAGCGCCACAGCACTAGCGAAAATTTAAATTTGCCGACTGGAATTCTTTCGGATAACTGACGTTTCGGATAAACGACGCTCTACTGCATTATAAACAGTAGACTATACATACATAGTTTGTTGAAATTTTGGACAGAATTTGTAATGAATCTGTATTTTTTTTATCAATTAGTAAAAGAAAATCAAATACCAGAAAATATTTTAGATTTTAAAACACTAATACTTGTTTCACATTAAAAAATTTGAAGCATGTTGGAACAGTTATATCATTTATTCAGATGAAGAAATAATTGAAATACAGCATTTCACAAACTGATTAGAATAAAATTTATAAGTTTTCATGATAGTTCATACATTAACCTTAAATACATTTTGACTGACCCTCTTCAGCTACAGAATTAAAAATATTAAGAAAATGTGACATTTCTTAATTAATTTCTCTAACAATTTTCTATAAATTTTTGCTATGTTAGCTCCTTTCACTAAAACTTAATAATACATCATCAACAAAAATCACTTTAGACAATACATAGTTTTTATATTCATCACATCTTACAGCAAATGTTCTAACATCGTGTTGTTAAAATTTAGTCTAGAATCATTTCATAAATCTAAATATAAAGTAAATTTAGTTGGTAAAAAATTATAGTTCTTGGAGTTTGTCAGGATTCTGTAAATATTTTAAATTTGTCACATAACTTTCTTTTTTCTCTTCTTCATAAAATTTTCCTATGGAAATTTAAAGCATCCCATATTATTCTTTCAACCTTAGTATTTTCTTATATTTTTGTTTCATACCACAATCATCAACAAAGTTATCAGAATTAAAAAAAAAAAAAAGATTTCGCAACAAGAACTAACATTAAGATTGTTATATTTATTTCAATAATACTCCAAGTCTAAAGTTTGCACTGTACTGTACTGCTATATTCTGTTTCTTAACACAGTAGCCCCTTGTTTCATACATATATCAGATATCAGATATCTGATGGTGTGCATAACCAACATATCTATCGTGGCTAAAGCATTTTTATATTTGGAAGACAAAACACAATATATCCAAATGAGTGATATAATGAGGACCACTGTAGCCAAAACACTTCTATCCACCCATTACAGAATGAGTTTTAATTATTAAAAAATGAATTAAAAAAGTAAATTATAATTTTCTGTAATTATTTAAACAGACAGAAAAATATGGTCTTTTATGCATAATAAAAACAAGTCTTATTTTTGTATTATTAATGTTTGAATAATTCTGTCTCAAATGAATAGTTATTACTACTAATGTCATACCAATATCTTTAAATGCAGTATGATTTTAATTATACTTTAAAGTTTTCAGTCATTTTTAATGACCTTCTTCAAGAAAGAAAAATGCATTCTAAATATAGAAGAATGCCGTCAGTATGAAAATTATTAATTTGATTTGAAAGTTAATGCAGGAGAACATAATTTCACAATTTCTATATTTTTTTTCCTTGAAGAAGATCGTTAAAAAAAATCAAAGATGTTAAAGTATAATTAAAATTATGCCGCATTTAAAGGTATTGTTGTAGCATTATTAGTATTAATGAGAGTGCAGTTTTCGAAGCAGTGGAATAGTTATTGATTATTTATGTTTTTAAAATTCCAGTAAAAGATTTGAAAGTAATTTCTGCATAATAAATTTGAGAACAATTAAACAGATCTCTATTTTTCAGAATCCTATTGATTATAAGGTACCACATACGATTCGATTGCAGCCAAAGAAGCAGAATAAATATTGTTATATAATGAATAGAGCTTCAAAGATTTTAATTTCTAAATAAAAATAATAAATGAAATGAAACAGAGCCCTCAAAGAACATGAAAGAAAAGAAAATATCCTACTTCTTTAATGATAATTTTATGAACCCTAATTCCTTTGTTTGACTTTCTGCAATAGAAGAAGAAAAATGCACCTTACTAATTTTCAAGTTTTCACTTTATTAAGAAATATTTAACACTACAAATTATTTTTATTAGGAAAAAAGGGTAAAGAGATTACTATAGAAGGATACGATATTCTTAATGCAATATTCCACTTCAATAAATACAAAAAAATATTGCCTTTCTGCTATGGTTAAATTTTAATTATATTATTAAGCTTAAATTATACAGTGTTATGTAATATAAATATTTTGGCACTTACTGGTGTGTTTGAAAAGTAAGGAATTAAGAAAATAATATATATACTTACCTCTGGTTGATGTTTATCACAGTCTTTATCTTCATCTTCAATTGTTTTGTTTCCTAGAAGAAATGAATAATTCTTTAAGATATTTTTATTATTTTTATCTATAATTACCATACATCTTGAAAGATTTTCTCTCAACATATAGCTTTAAAAATAATTGGGTTAGTTTTAGTTTTAGAACTATGTAGTGTATATTGAAAAGCATTAAATAAATTATAGAGAAATATAATGTTCTATTTTAAGTCACACAAAATTTTTGGACAGTTACTGAAAATTTAGAAAATATTTGAAAATGTTAATATGTTCATGTTTGAAAACATTCCATTGAGTTTTTAAGCATTTATCTGAAGATGAGCCAAATCACACTCAAAAATGTTTAATACATTTAAATGAAAAAATATGTATAATCAATTAGTGATTTTATATATGACAAAGAATATTATGAATAATTTGACATGAGACAGAAAAAAAATCATGTTTTAATGTCCCTTCTCTGGTTTTTTATTGTTTATATCAGCATTGAACAACCTTTTCTGGTGAGGTATGCAAGTAAAGTTCATAAGCTTCTGGTAGGCCACATACTTTTTTTTATAGAGTTGCAGTTAAAAGTCTTTCAAGTATCAACATACGCCAGTTATGGAGTATGTTGGTACACCACAGATACTAAAATAATAAATACTAATGATATGGAAACTAGTTATATGCAGTTTATTCTCATTTTTCACTGGTCAAGTTTAGTTTGAATGTTCTTCATCATAAGTATCTGCTTACACCAATCAAAACCTTTGACAATCCAGTAAATAATTTAATGTAAATTTAACAAATGTTTTTTATCTTAAACAGGATCTGCTTCAGATCAACAACATTGCAAATTGGAATGCACAGAACTAATTTAGAATGTTGTTGATCTGAAGCAGATCTTGTTTAAGATTAAAAATGTTTGTTGAATTTACATTAAATTACTTATTGGATTGTCAAAGGTTGATTGGTGTACTTAGTTAACAATCCAGTTATCGAGAAGAAGTTAATTTCATAAATATCTGCTTAATTAAGATTCCATAATGGCACAAGAGAGAAAACAAAAAGATAAAATTACATTGCCAAAGCCCCAGGGGCTACACATTAGGACCTTGCAGGCTGTAGGTTGCTCATGACTAGTTTATATCA